GCATCAATATTTGTTTGTTTTGTACCCGGCTCTGTATATATATATATATACATATATTTGTATATGTCTGTATGTATGTGTATATATATATATATAGATGGTAAACCCCCCCAGGACCAACTTCGGCCATGAATTTGCTCCTGCGTGTCTCTTCCTCGAAGAGCATACGAGCCGAGCACCCCGTAAAAAACCGGTATGCCTGGCATTCGTTTCCTTTGTCCGTAGCCTATGCGGGGCATACTACAGCACTCAAACGTTTCACTGCCATGTCTCTTATCTTTAATACGCACTCATGCTGCCTTTGCTGACCTGAATATGCTCTTTTTCGAGAGTTACGCATATGAGGCTATAACACACACGTATACCGACCACATCTCGTTCCTGAGTCTCTCTCAATCTTCCTGCCATGTATGCTGTACGCAGAAACATGTGGCCAAGTCTGTCATGGGTTGAAACCTAGCAATCAACAAATAGTTGTTTAACACTTATTCCTTGTGCAAGTTTAGGGAATGCTGACTTATGTACCATAATGAACAAACTTGCTTGATATCGAAATGCGACCAGATCACGCGAACATTTGACAGCAACTAATGCAATTAGGTGATACCTTTGTCTGCGTTTTCTTGATGACTACCACATATTGCTATATAGTTAAACAATCTTGACGAAGACAGTCTTTGACAGTTACATCTCGTCCAAATCGCTTCTTTATCCTCCTTCGTAAGGTTGGCCGCAATATTCATTTCAGTAGTGATCATTCATATTAGTTGCTTACAAACTGATTGATGTTGCACCTAACCACAAGAAAAAAACATGAAAAGGTCAGTGTGCTAGTTGCATGCGGGCAATACTTTTTCGGTGTTCAGCCGATGTTCGCTCGATAATACTAGAGCTAGTCAATAGCTGTGAGATTTGTGGTTCAGGTACGGTATGTTTAGCTTAGATTGTGCGTTTCTTGCGTGACGATCTAGCATCTACGACCACTTTGTTATTTCATTGTTTTTCAACCTCAAGATAAAACGGGCTGCTAGTTAGCCAACACCCATCATGTGTCACTCTTCACATGTCTACTGGGCCTTGAGCAACTCAAACCTGTTCCGTAAACATCCATGACATACATATTGCTATATACTACATCAATATTAACTGCATACCGATCAGATTTGGGCGAAAATTGCGTGCATGTACTTATATTGAAGACTAGCTTACTGTTAAGGCAGTATTTTTCAAGCGCCAACCATCTCTGTAAATGGTTGAAGATTAGCACGCGAACTGTTTAAGTAAATATAGATTGAAAGCTGACTGTACTTAGAGGCAACAGCTCGTAAATGTTTGGTACACATATGCGGTCTGATCACTAAGTCAATAAACTCCTTTCGGATAACCGACATTCTCAAGAGCTAGCTGAACATGTGTGGAAATGTTCTTCAAACATCGCGCAAGCAAGAGTACATAGGTTGTGACTGATCACTACTTGTGCATGTTGAGCGTTAACTCGTCCATGACTCTAAGTTTCGCACTATCTAAGTGCTTGTTCCCCTCTGCCAATTCATCTGCGGCATTCACGCAAAACTTAGATCATATCAACCCCTCATTGCAATGAAAACTTCTACAACATCAGGTATTTGTGCAATTGCTAATTCGATCGACCGTGCGCGTCGTGCTGCGGTCCCTGCCTGCTGCAATCGAAGTGATTCGTACTAGAATTTCCTAAGCTTTAGTCGCACAAATTGCTTGACTTCTGCAAAGCCATCCTCCATGTGCGAGAATGCCCTTTTTGTGAATCTAGTTTCCCTAATTCCCTGTATTCCTTAATCGTATGCACCACACGTGGAATTTCATAATTCCCCAAACTGCCTATATTCCCTCATCCTCTGCACCACGAGCAGAAATCCATAACTTCCCAAATCGCGTCACAGCATACCTCCATGAGTGAGAATGTCTAAATCCCTAATCCCCTAAACTCCTTAAACTCCAAAATTCCCTAACTTCCTGAGAATTGTCTTATTTCCTCCCCCAGGTCCTGGTTTTAGGGATTTCCCAATTGCCATATATTCTCGAAATTTATCTATATTCCAGTTTTCCTCCACCTCGATAGGGATTATGGAATTTGAGGGTTTTGGAGAAGTAGCGGTAATCACCAAATCCGGGACATGGCGGTATAGATTAGGGAATGAAAAGTTTCAGAAACTTGCTATGAAAGTTCGGTCCCTACGTACGTATGTGTGCATGCCTACGTACATACATCCATATAACCCATACATGCTATACATGTTTGGCTATCTGTTTTCTAGCTGCTCATCTTTTTATTTAGCTAGCTGTTTGATTTTTGCTTGTTGGTCTATAAATTTGTTTGATCTATTCTTATTTGTATTTGTAGAGTACCTTGTATCCGCGGGTTGAGCGGTACCTACTTGATCGAGGCTGCGAAGATTCGAAACTCGACAGAAGCTACGAATCTGCAGAGCCGAAGCTGACCGTGTCAGGGCCTGACACCAGTGTCACAAGTGACGTGGCTCAGGCCCAGGCGCGCCCCCCCTGAACAACAGACTCTAAAAGCTCTAAACCTAAAAGACCTACTGAACCCTGAAACCATTCTAAACTAAACCCTATCCATGAATTCTCGTGTCAGGCCTGACACAAGTGTTGTCTCCTAACGCGCAAGCCCCTTTCTCGTGATGCGTGTGTCCGGCCTGGCACCGCAGCTTCGCAGCTTTCGCAGGTTCCCCCCCTCTCGCGCGCCCCCGAGGCCCACAATATGTTTACATGTAGTACTACCTGCATGCACACCTGTCAGCTATCCGTTTCTCTCGCTGGCTCTCGCTCTCCGACACCGCTGTCCAGACTCTGGCCCTAATACTCCTTCTCCAAGGCGGCCAAATCCTCGCGCGCCTCCGAGAACTCACCCTCCTCCATACCTGCCCAAGAACAGCTGCTCATACACACCGAGCGGACATAAGATCAACCGTAGCGAACACAGCCGCTCGTTCCTGTAACCGACCGCGAAGTGCGGGGCCTTCACCAACGTAGTGGTGCACGAAGGCTCGCTTCCTCGGTGAAACTCCATGCGTTACAATCGGGATTCGCAAAAAGGGGTTAAGCTTTCTCGACAGGGTGTGCTTTCCAAGTTTGGTTGCCAGCCTTGGAGCGGCTTGGCCGAACGGGGCTCGCAAGAGGATGCTGCAAAAGGGTCTAGCGCCTGTAGGGCTATTTAGCGGTTCAGTCGAGTCGAACCGAACAGCACCGAGCACAGACACAAAATGGACCTTCAGCCACAACATGTCGTTGGCAGTTGTGCGGAAAGGGCCCCAACCTCTCACGGCAAACACTTCCCGGCAATGTTGAAGCTTGAACACTGAAGGGTTGAGGGGAGCCAGAACGGTTACCATGCTGAAGCATCAAGGCACGAGTACATGAGGTCGAACTTGTGGTCGATGCGAGAGAAGACTTCCTGGAGTGATGGATCCGTTGTTGGTTAAACCTCAAGAGCTTCGGGCTGCGGGTTCTGGACCAGGGAAACTCACTTGGTCCAGATCGTGTAGCAGATTGCCAGGCACGCTGGGACGATCTGCCGAGGCCGGTTGCATGGATTGGCGGAACCAAAAAGCTCCCAAGCCTGAAAGCACAAATTCAAAACGCCGTCACGCTGCGGCGATGGCCGTGGAGTTGGAGATCATGCAGCAAGCGCGCATGACCTTTGCCAAGTCGCCACCTTGCCACGGCGGCACTTTTAAATCTGACTCTGGACCATCGCAACCGCGGACAACGGGCCGAACATTCTAAACTGAACGGTAATTATATAGACATATAGATGCCCACCCCATCTGGCTACGGTTCAGGCTTCCGGCTCAAGGAAAAAGGTTTTTCTCAACGCCGCTCCCAGCTCGATGCCTCGAGCCCTGACCTTCAAAACAGGCGAACCGTCGAGCTTCACCTCCCTGAACCCCTGAACCCGAAACCTGACTGCCATACCTTTGAATCTCCATTCTTAAACTCATTGAACCGGCCCACCCTGAACCACGGCCAGATAGAGCTTCCTCCTCCCATGCACGAACCGTGCCTGGGACCACGGTGGGTGGCTGGTAGTTGATGCCACACTTGAAGCCCGTCGGGCACCAGTCCTCAAACAACTCCGGCTCAGATGGGCAAAGAACTTTAGGTATGATTCACCCAAGTTGTTTACAAACACAGCCGCATGCAACAATCAGCACGAAATCGAAGATGCGAAGACAGGGGAACGAGTCAAATTTATGTGAAAAGGTGGTGAGCTTAAGATGCTGGGAGAGTATGGCACAAGGCGCAGGCAGGTATCGCCCCGATGTCAAATCAGCTAGCTTCATCATGGACCATCCGAGTGTGTCAATCTCTGTCAAGGACAATGGCCCTGCACGCAGCTCATCTAGAGTGCAACGGAGGATCCACGAATTGGATGGTGCGCTTGGTCTTGATGGTGGCCACGGCCGCATTCACATCCTTTGGCACAACATCGCCGCCTGGGCAGTCAGAATATGTCAAAACGCTCCTGCTTGCACATCGTTGCACCCTTCTCCGTTCAGTCCCCTGCACATCTCTAAACCTGAATCCGCAGCTGGACATTGCCGGGCACCCGGGCGGTACATCATGCAGCAGGCCATGTACTTCCCGTGCCGAGGATCACACCTGATTATCATTTAGTTGTAGCTGCAGTGCGTGCAAGAAAAATCATACCTGACTGCGTCAGGTCGTCATCGGAAGAGCACCTTCCGGTCTGTCGACTGCCAATTGACCGATAGCACCCAGGTCAAAACCAAAGCAGCCTAAAGCAAAATCAAGCAGGAAGAAATGAGAATCGGTAGTTAGTCTACATGCAATCTGTTGCAGGCCATACAATACAACAACCCGAGCCCAAAAAGCCTTAGTCGCACTTTTAGATTGAGCTGAGAGTTTCGGATGGAGGGCTCCGGTTTCGGAGGCAGCTTTGGATTGAGGCCTTTTAAGAGTTTCGCGGGTTCAGGCCTAAGAATTCAAGACTCTGGTTCTATATCTAGCTGCCTAGCATCTAGAATTTCCGATGCCTTCGAGAGTTGTTGGGCTCAGGATAAAGGGGTTTGAGCTCCATATCCATGCGCAGTGCTTCGCGCTTGGAAGCTCGACGCCACTGATTTTCCCCTTCCTGCACTACAGCATGCCAAGGAAGTGCAGTGAAGGATCATATCGAATCATATCTGATTATTTAGTTATTATTTCGTTGTAGCTGCAACAACCTATCTCTCGCCGATGCGGGGGTTGGAAGCAACGTATCAGGGCCAGGAGGGCGCCCAATCTAGGGTGTTGCATGAAAAGGACCTGCCTCACAGAGCAGTGACATCGCATGATGATGATTGGATGTCACCCCGAAGTGGCAGGTAGTATCAGATGTTGTCCACATGTGGTGTTAGCCATTGAGGTCCTAAAGCCTTCCAGCACAAAATCCCCACAGGCCAACTAGGGCTGGCACTTCACCATCATAGAAGCCGGCTCGAAAACNNGCCTTCTCGGCAGAGATGACCGGAGCATAGGACGTGAGCATGAAGTGGATGCGCGGGTACGGCACCAGGTTCGTCTGGAACTCCGTGATGTCCACGTTCAAGGCTCCGTCGAAGCGCAGACTGGCCGTGAGAGAGCTGATGATCTGGGCGATCAGACGATTCAGGTTGGTGTACGTGGGACGCTCGATGTCCAGGTTCCTGCACGTCACGCAGGTCCAGGTCACCCACGCACAAAACATGGATGCAAGCATAGTTAAATGCGGTGTATCAGGATCCGACGAACACCATCCCCTGAGCTCTAAGCATGCGTACAACACACGCATGATCCACGCCGAACCCACGCCGAGGATCCTGCGGCAAATGTCGTACAAGGCCTCGTTGTCGTACATGATCGTCACATCCGTATGCTCCAACAGGGAGTGGACACATAACACCTTGGCGGGAATCTCGCTGTCGGCTGCCGGGAGGGAATGCAAAGGAAACATCCCAGAATGAGCTTAGAGAATGGAATGCAAAGCCGAGTCTCTGTGTTGTACGGCTCGACGACTGCTGTTGCCACCTGCGGGCAGCACCACACCGTGAAAGAGATCTTGCTCTTCTTGCCGTAGTCCACGGACAAGCGCTCCAGCATGAGGCAACCCAGGCCAGAGCCCGTTCCTCCACCGCAGGCCTCGCGACTTGGGCTTCACAGCCCCAGGCAGCGGTCACGAAATACAATCCAAGTGGCGTTGTAGACGCAAAATCCCTGTAGCCCGGTGCCTGGAGTATAGAATCTGGCGACTGCATTCAGCACGGTTCGGTTCGAGGCCTCATGCCGGTACCACTCCGATACCCCTCTGAAAGTACCGAGTCGCAGTTGTCGGCCAGCTTGCGGATCCTGCCATGGGATGTGCAGCTACATTTAGCAGCAATGCACAGCAATGCAAACCGCCAAACCAAACCCCCCTCTCCACATGAGTCAACACAATACAAACAAGCGAGATAGCTGTGTCACACAACAATCCCCACGCCATCAACGATAAGCTTTGTCCTGTCAAGAACCAAATCCACGATTTCCTTGCCGATCGTATAGTGGCCGCGTGCGAAATTGTTCGCCTCTTTATCTTCAAGATGGACACACAGCAAGATAAAAGCAGTGGGGGGCTTGGTACAGGGTATGCCAAGTAACAGCATCTTCCTTGCCAGAGATCAGCTGCTCTGGATGGAACAGCTGACGGTAAGTTCCTGTGCGAACTTCGTCCACGACGGTCGGCTCAAGATCCTTAGCTGTTATTATTTTGTTGTAAATGCGCCATCCGGGCTGGTGGGATGGACGCAAGAAGCCATTATGGCTGGCCAAAATGGCCCGAATGTGGCAGGACCCGCACGTAGTCCAAGCGTTTCGGTTTTACTAAGTCCACTAAGCAGGTACGCACTGCAAAGGCACCCTGGCAACCTTGCGGCGATTCATATTGTGTGCAGGGCGGCATGAACAGATGAACTCTCCCCGTGCGAATTCCACGGAATCTCACAACTACAAGCCGTCGCAAGTAGCCAAAACGCTGGAGGTCAACTAAGCGCAAGTCCACCATGACGCAGCGAGGGACGTGCTTTCCAGCACCCGTTTCGGAGAAGAAAGTGTTAAATGCATCCTCGCGGGGTGGCTGCATTCAGCATGCTTCTGCTGATGCTTGCCTACCATGGTGATCCCTGAAGAGCAAAGCTTCTTGCCCTTAACAAAACTTGTCACCACAAGCAAGGGGCATCTCCACCGCCGATGGTCTTGTCCTTAGCTTGTTGCTCTAATGTCCAACTTCAATATATCATCCTCGCACGTTGCACTACAACTACTTGCGCCTCTGAAGCCTGCGGGCGAGCGTCGCTGGGCATCTGGCCATCCGGCTGGATGCCATGCTCGAGGCAGAAGAGCTCCCAGCAGGCGTTTCCGATCTGCACGCCACCCTGAAATTTTAGGCAAGCACGTTTTCCCTTTGACATATGTCGAGGAGACTTCAGAATTCACACAAGATTCGAAGTCTGCCTGCGGGCCTGGCCGATGTGGATGCAGATGGCCTCACGCATGGCTGCGACGTGAGGGGCGTAGAAGTCGCAAAAGAGTTGATCGCAAAGAGCACCAATGGAAGGTGACGGGGGCACACCGCGCGATGTAGCGGCCTTGATCACCAATCCTCGAGCCGAAATGTCAAGGTTCAGGCTGCGAAGCTCGGCAGCCCCTTCGGAGGTCACTTCAGCTCCAGCCTTCAAAACAGAATGGCTTAAACTCAACCTGGCAGGTCGATCCATCCTGTGAGGACAACATAGCCTCGAGAACGCCCCTTCTGGCACCAAGGTCAGGACTAAACGCTCATCCAGGGAGGGCGGAAAGTGCCAAAAGCTGCAGCGATCCTGGGGCTTTTTGCAGTGGCCGGGCTTCGCAATCAACAGTCACTGGATTGAGGCTGTTTCGCCAGAGGTTGGGGAGCTCGATGCTCTTCTGCGGGATGGCATTCCCGTGGTTCCCAGACTCTCCGGGTTCAGGGCTGGCCACCAGATTTCAGGACTGCCTCGTTGTAAGACCCCGGAACCGCAGCACCCTGGGAGTACCAAGGCACATGTAAACGCCCTCAGAAGCTGAGCATGTCTTCTGATTCAAAGCTGTGAATCAGTGAACTCGAAATGGAAACAACCCAAGCCGAACCGATAACGTTGTAACCGACAACCCGTTTAAAAAGACAGTCGAGGCTCCACTTGAGCTTTGGGAGTGGGAACCGGGACGAAGGACGCATTGACGTAACCTCGGGTGGGCTCTGTCTCTTGCTTCGTGTTGGAGGGGGTGGTCCAGGGCTTAAGCTTTCGGGCTTAAGGTCAGTTCAAGAAATTCTCCTCGAAACCTTCTGTTGGCTTTAAGGATTTAAAGTCTTGGAGCCTGAGACGTGCGGCTAGAAGGAGTTGTTGGATCATGTTGACTTCGGCGACTGCACACAATATTTCGGCCACGAACGCACACTCTCATGAGCTTCTAGACGAGAGTACTGAGTACTGCAATGCTCATGACAGACCCTAGCATTTCCCACAAGCACTGCTGCCATGTAAGAGTAGAAAAATTCCCGGACTGCACCACTGGCACGGCAACGACAAGATCCGAGCCTTCTGGGGCTTCGGGTCTTTCGGCTGATGCCTCCGTCCAGACCATGCAGTCAAGAGGCAGCAGTCGCCACCTCAGTCACAACCGGGTCTGTTGAAGCAGCAACAAGATTTGGGGCTAGCGTTTAGAGTGTATGGCTTGGCGAACGTCATGGGCGGAGGCCAGATCAATCACCCTTCAGTGCTTTAAAACCCTCAGCGAAGAGAAACCCAAAGCCCTCCAGGGCCACGGGCTATAGACTCAAAAGGATTTTTCGCAACGCGACTAAACGTATCCCTTCCAGTTTCAGCGCAGTCGACGTGCTCTTAAGCCGCAAGCAACCTCCCTCATTTCTGAATTCTCGGGCTTGAGGCAGGACCATCCGCAGTTCTTCCGCGAGGCCTCGGCTTGCCATGTCGAGATGTGTGCAGTCGGCTTGGCACTGGTCTGCAGCGGGTCTACGGGCTCCGGTTCAAGACTCGCAGCTGCTTGGTTTGGGGGTTTGCGTCCGCGGGGGGGTGGGGGTATTGGACCAGAAAGGTCCCATGCTTGCACCTGGCCCTGCACGGCTGACAAACACCGAACAGCTATGCCCGAAGTACCGTCGAGCTGCACACTGCAGCCTGTCATCGCACATGCCCCAAAGTCGCGCATTGCCCTCCATTTTTCGAAGGACCGTGCCTCAGCTTGTCACCGCATGCAACTACGAACAGCCACAACCGCAAAAGCAGCACCTTGTCCGGGATAGCCAGTCCCAATCATTGCACGAATTCCCCTGAACCTTCGAAATTTCAATTTCGTAGTACTTAGCATGTCAATGTGACCCGCAGCAGCACCAACGCTTTCCAGCACAGCTCAGTTCAGCTTGTCAACTCCTAGTGTCTATAGGTCTTTCAGGCGCGTGAATCAAGCACCTTTAAAGAACGAAAACCAGGAACATGATACCAAACTTCAATACTACCAGGCTAAGCGTCTTAAATGGTAATGTAGAGCCCTGTGTACATGCCCCCTTTGCTCAAGGGTCTTCATGTTCGGATCTCGATGAGAAGCCCTTTTGAGGGCCGGTGGTTTGCTAATCAGGGGTCTACATTAAGGTTTGGGTCTTTCTTCGCAGTGTTGGGATTGCTGCGCGATTGGCACGGTTCTGCTCAAGAGAAGCGCAGCTGCACAGAACACACCTTGCCTAACCTTACAACCGTCGTGTGGTTTAGCTCTGTGCTTGTTTCAGTTGTGTTTCTTGTGTATTAACTTAACTGATGGTACGTGACGAACGACTTAGGTTAAATCCCTGTCAGGTAGACACTTCTTCCAGGCCCAAACACCTAACGCCCCTGAGCTCTTCCAGCTGTGCCGTCAAACCCAGAAGTAGAAGATTCCTCCGGATCCGTTTAGGTGCCATTCCCTGGAAACCTCAGATCGGGAATCCTGGCTTTGTCCCTACAAGTTCGCGATGCGATGGAATGTCAAACATGCAAGCCCCTCTGCGTTGTCTCGGTTGGCCTCGCGACTCCCTTCATGTTGCAAGTAAGCCAGCCGCTTTAGCCAGATCGCGTATCCAAGAATGAGGGATTCAAGGCCAAAGCAGTGCGGTGACTACAAGAATGAATGCTTCAGTGACCTGGAAACCGCCCACGCCGAAGCCTGAGCCCAAAGCCTAAAGCCCGATCCATCCCAACCCATATAACCCATCTCATCGAAGCCTCACATGTGATTGCAAAGCAGGGCCAGTTCGGATAGTTCGGGTTCTGACCGTTCGGGCGGCAGCCTGCTTAACTTCTTCAGCTGCGGGGCAGTCGGGCGGATTCTCGACCACGCCGTGGAAGCCTAAGGCCGCAGGAGGCACCCTGAGCCGGGAAGGCCGAAACAAATACCCGAACCCCAAACGGTAGCAGCGTGAGCGACTGTGTCACAAAAACACGAGGAAGGCGGGTTTTCTTCTTCGAACCGGCTCAGGAGCGTGCCCACCGCATGAGCAATCAGGTTCTCGATATTAGAACCGCCTGCCTTCGAGATGCGAAGGAACTTACACTAGGCATGTAGAGTTTACAAGGGCGCCGAGCACTGAGGAGAAGCACATACAGTTGCAGTAGGCATCGAAAGACTGACGCTGGATCGTCGGCATGAGTCGTGGTTGCAATAGTGCAATAGTCATGGTCCGTCGTCCTCGGCAGCGGCAGCATCGTGGTCTTCGTCGGAGGAGGAGGAAGGGAGACGGGGGGGGGGGGGGGGAGGAGTGGGAGTAGGAGCAGGAGCCGAAGTAGCAGTAGCAGTAGCAGTCGCAGCGGCAGTCGCAGTCGCAGTTGCAGCAGCGGCAGCAGCAGCAGCAGCAGCAGCAGCAGCAGGGTCAGGAGTAGGAGTAGGAGTCAGAGCAGGAGCAGGAGTAGGAGTAGGAAGAAGGAGGAGAAGAAGGCGTCGTCGTGCTAGCAGCAGCAGCATGAGTCAGAGACTGGAAGTCGTCGTCATACACAAGGAGGAACGACGTGTAGCAGTAGCAGTGGTGACAAGGGCATCCATCCTTGACCCTTATCAATGGTTCGGCCAAGCTCTAGCTCGAAGCACTGAATCCCGAACTATCAACTTATTGACCTTTTTGCGCGTGACGGAGCACCTAGTCTGTCCGAAAGTCCTGCCACTCAAGAAGTCTCACAGCCCGTGAAAAGGGCCCTGTGGCCTTCGGGATGTGGATGAAAGACAGGCACGGCTTCTGCGGCGCGCGTGGTGGGAGTTGCAACGCCGACGCACTGTCCTTGGAGGAGCGCTGTATCCCCTGCAGACACGGGCACTCAAAGATGCACCGTACCACGATTAAAACTCCATGAGCCGTGCACAGAGATCCTCAGGCCAGATGTATAGATGTATGAAACACCTAAGAAGTGATTTGATGTTGTTACTGATGTCAGTGCTAAGACAGGATATGAGGCCCTGCATATGCCCAAATGCATTTGCCTGACCACTGAGAAAATTCCGTAGGTGCATTCATGCCCGCGCAAGGCCTAGAACATCCTAAATGTCCTACCTCAATCAGGGCAAATTGTGAGGATGATGGGCGACCAACTTTGGACACTTGAACGAAACAGCTTGAAGCCGAGCCGCTGTGTCGGAGCCGGCATGGCAGGTCGGGGACCCGGATGCCTGGAAGCAGTGCACGTCCCGACCCCTCGAAAACGCTCATGCCTGGGTAAACAGCATTCAATGGCGGCAACCTTTTTCCTTCCTGTCCCAAAGTCTTGAAATTCGACAGCGGCAGCCTAAGTAACGTAAACCTAAGCCTGGAAGCCAAACGTAAGTTCAAGTCACTAGCGTCCAGCAGCCCAGCCCCAGAGGAGTCGCAAGCCGCCACATCGGCTCATGCAGGATTCGGTATCGAAAGCTAGCATGCAGGGGTCAGGCCCTTCAGGGCTGCAAAAAACCTAAAAGTGCCGGAATAAGCTTGGCGAGTCATCTGTACTCGCAATGAGCCTTGGCTTGTGCGTCTCAGGCACAGTTGCCACGGTCACTGCCTCGTCTGTTCATCGTTGCTCACGTTGTTTTGACGGCCCTGTCGATCGATACAGTAGCTGCTGATAGCTGCTACTAGAAGGTGCCTTGCATGCTAAAGTTGATTTGACCCAGGTGCCTGCCGTGCAGTTGAGGACGAAGATACTGCAGATCAGAGTGCGAGAACAGGCATGACAAGATGCACCGGTAATCCAACTCCTTCGTTTGCCCCTACTCATGCTCCAGTACATCGCATATAGTGTTGAAGTCTCGGTGTGGTAAGCTGTTCTTGCTCTGTCATGGGCCCTCGCAACTTCTGCTGCCATCGACCAGGAATACAGGGGTGGATGTGTCCCTCGGCAATCCGCACCTCCTGCTCTTGGGCACAGCGCAGAGCCTCTATGCCAATGCCGCGAAAGCCTGAAACCACAGCCGTCAGTCCTTCGGGTTTGCACATGTTACATGTTAGATGCTGTCTGCTGCCCATCGTGGGCACCGCTGATTCTGGTTCATCCAAGAACGTTCTCCTTTTCTCACATCAGAGGCCGATCGCTGATGCTCTGGTCCGAAACTCCGCGACCTGCTCCGGGTGACAACGGAACGTTCAGAGCTCGACTGGAAGTAACCCTCGAGTGAGATTTAACCCCATGCGAAACAGAGAGCAATGGTAAAAGGTCCAAGGTCAGCTCACAGGGCAAAGCAAGCCGCATCAAACCTAAAGCTCCATCCTCCACAACACTACAGCTGCCGCGACCGGCTGCGGAACACCACCGGCTCACGGGTGTCACTGTTGCTACTGTTTCTGCTGCTGCTGGTACTACTAACTTCTGCTGCTGCTGCTGCTGCTGCTGCCGCCACCGCTGCACAAACTACTACTACTACTACTACT